GTTATGAAACTAGAACAAAAGGTACTACTTATTAACCTTCTACAAATATACTCCGTAATAAACAGAGACGTAGCCAAAGGGGGGCAGCTGCCCCCCTTCACCCCACCCCACCCCACCCCTACCCTATATATAGCCTTTGTATATAATATGTATATATAGTACATTATTAGTATAAGTATTATAAAACAGATTAGGTAAATATAAGCTTTGGTAGACAAGGTGGTAGGAAATGTGTTTGATTTTCAAAATGGCTTGGGTTTGATTCCTTGCATTGACATTGTCACAATCTTCTTCACATCTTTGCTCAACACAATTAAATTTTGGCATGGTATACATAAGTTTCTTTTATATTAATAATGAGATGCCTTTCTTTTTTTATATTAATAATGAGATGTATATATAACTTTCTTTATATTAATAATGGGATGTATATATAACTTTCTTTATATTAATAATGAAATGTGTAATTTATAATGTGTTTTATATTCGAATTGTTTTATCAAATTAATTATGTTTCATATTTTGTTATAAATATTCACAATTAAATTTTGGCATGGTATACATAAGTTTCTTTTATATTAATAATGAGATGCCTTTCTTTTTTTATATTAATAATGAGATGTATATATAACTTTCTTTATATTAATAATGGGATGTATATATAACTTTCTTTATATTAATAATGAAATGTGTAATTTATAATGTGTTTTATATTCGAATTGTTTTATCAAATTAATTATGTTTCATATTTTGTTATAAATATTTTTATAAAGTTTTAATATGTTTTATTTTTCGCTATATCCAACAATATTTATTGATATACTTCTTAAGTGTTTTTTTTTTTCAAATTCTCTTTTATTTTTATTTTTTGCCCTCACTGAAAAAAATTCCTGAATCTGCAACTGAATTCATCCCTACTTCTTTGCCCCCCTCAACATAATTTCTGGCTCCGTCCCTGGTAATAAATATTAATATTTTGTTCAATTCTTTTACATTAGAATGTACACACACATCTTACAACACATGAAACGTGTAGGAAAAAAACTATCACTGCCAAATATCAACAAACGCTTGCAAGATCAAGAGTTCATAGTACAAGTAAGATCTCAGTCATGTACACAAACAAAACGAGGCAAATCCACAACTTTGTACACCATAATCTCATTGCATGACACATCCCTCTATACTATCACCAGTAACCCAATTACACATGACACATTACCAATAATAAATAAAAATAAAAGAAAAAGAGTACTGAAAATGAAGACAATGACATTGCTACAAGAAAAAGAATTAAAAAAGACTTAGACAAATTCAAACCAAAAGTAGTATTTATTTAGACTATCATTTTTAGACTAAGTGTTTAGACTAGCGTTTTCACAAAATTGCAAACATTTATTTTTGTGACAATTATAATAAATCTCTCATATATTATTTTGCATTCTTATACTTTGAACTACCGATTTAAATAAACAAATTCAAAATTCAATTACATATACAGGAACATCTTCTATATAATCTTGTATTGATATACTTTGAAGTACTTATTTAAAAATAAACATTGGGCATTATCTCATTCGCGCAATGTGTGTAAAAAAACTAGTATCATAATAAATTCAATAAGCCATGAAAATTTATGGTCTATGGAGTAATCAAAAGATCAATAGAATATGAATAACAGATAAATATTATACTAACTAACAAAATTCATTTTTGCAGATTTCTTTTCTCTTGATCAAAAACTATTTTTAATACCCAAAAAGAAAAAAAAAAATAAAATAAAGCTGATGAACTCTGGGGAAGAAAAAGAATAATATAAAGTAATTGAAGATGTCAATATCAGGAATTGGACAAAAATCACAAAATTGAGTAATTAATGGTCAAGAAAATAAGAGGAAGGATTGACTTGTTTTGTGGAAGTTATTAATCCACTGGTCATGCAATGGGCATCTCCAATCAATAAAGGCTATGTGTTATCTCTTGATTTTCTTTCTATTATTTTTCCCATCTAGAATTCAAGAAATGGGCATCTCCAATCAATAAAGGCTATGTGTTATCTCTTGATTTTCTTTCTATTATTTTTCCCATCTAGAATTCAAGAAAACAGAGACAGAGTCCAAGAAATTAAAGGTAAAAATTTGTATGAGACCATCTCTTTGTGAGAGGAGTCGGGTTAAAATTAAAATGTAATATTTATATGCAAAATTGTAATACTATTTATGAATAAAGTGCTTATTACTTAAATGGGAAAATGTAATATTTTTATATTTTGATTTAAAAGTATTATATTTTTCCTTATAAGTAACAAATAGTTGTCAACATGACTTATTAAGGAAAACGTAATACTTTTGATGAAAAATATAATAATACTTTTATATCAAAATGTAAAAGTATTACATTATTTCTCAAAAGTATTACTTTTTTGCTTATAAGTAATAAACATTTTATTCCTGATCAATATTATATTTGAACATATAAGTATGACATTTGCATGGTGATTTGACCGTCTCACTGAAGTGTGACTTGAAATTAAATTATCGTGAATGGAAAAACCATACGCTTTGTAGAAGTTATTCACCCACTTGGCAAATTTTACTCTGGATCATGATCTTTGTAGCAACATGGACCATGAAATATGAACCATTTTTAATACATTTCTACTTTTAATATATAAAAGTGCGACGGGCACTGTTACTAGTCATTAGGTAGAAATCTAAGCTGTGTTTGGTTCATGGATTTAGCTATCATGAATGGGAATCAAAGTCATTGTTATTATTTAGTTGACAGGTTTCTAGAGCACTACTATGAGATTTGATTACCCCCATTAATTAGCAAATTCATCCCCTAATAAAATAAGGGTTTCATTCCATTATTCCCATCCTGATTGGTAATTTGATTTTAAGTTTGGATTAGTGCTTTGGATGTCTTTATATTATAATAAATTGTCTTGATTTTTTGTTCATATATTTTTAAAACATTTATTCCCATTATAGGATCATACATAACCAAACAGCAATATTGGTAATCCTTCTAATTCCACCCTATTACCAAACATATATGCAAAATAATTTCACCAAAACTCATTACCATTACCAAATATTTAATTCTCATTCCGATTTCAATTCCCATGTGCGAACCAAACACACCTCTAATGTTATGAATATGTAAAGTTTGATTGATTAATGGGTTAGAAAATGCCAAGCACCTTGTGCTCAGATGACACATCTCTGGCTCTTCTTGAGGGAAGGTCACAAGATCGAACTCCGATCCGATGGTGAGGTATTGACTCTTTGGGCTGCACTAGTTAGAGAAAGCTAGTATATAACAGATACTACCCTGTAATAGAGCCAATAGTATTAAAAAAATTGGGTTAGAAAATAAGAACATAAATACTTTTATTCCACACTTTGTCACTTGACTTGGTCGTCAATGGAAACCACTGGACATGGGTCATGGATATATATATAATACTAACTAACAAAACATTTTATTTAAAAAACATGACCCCATGACTTGGTCGTCAATGTAAAATTATGGTATATCCCTTTTTATTAGGCAATCACACGTAGAATATGTTTAAAAAATGGAGTAAGAATTGCGAGTTGACCACTAAGCAAAAATTTTAACTTATATAAAATGTTTGACCACTGGACAAGATAGAATTATATTTGAGTTAATACCCGTCTTCGACTATAGTAGTTTTTCTCAATTTCATCCTAAACGACTTTGGTGACCACTGACCAAATGTAGTCACTGACTTTTGTTTTTTTGATCAATTTAGTCATCCGTTTGTTATTATGTCAAATTAGTGTTAAATAAAGAGACAAATCAGTAATCTCAAAATATTGGTCTCTCTAGCTTTACTCTCAACCCTGCGAAGTGTGAAATCTCTCTTTCTTTTACGAATTACTCACAGACCTGCAAATCAAATTTTATATTCGCAAGTTTAGAGTAATTTTGGGAGTAATTTGTAAAAGAAATAGGGATTCGCACTTCGCAGGTCTAGGAGTAAAGAGATGCTAATATTGAAATTATTGAATTGTCCCTTAGCTCTATTTAACAACAAGTGGATGGAATAACAAACGGATGACTAAATTAAGCACAAACATAAACGTCTGGGATTACATTAGGTCATCAAAGTCGTTTATGACGAAATTGAGAAAACCCATTATAATCGATGATATTTTAGGTATTAACTCACTTAAATTTTAAGCCATGAAAATTTATGGACTATGAGTAATCAATAGAATATGAATAACAATTAAATTTTATATATACTAACAAAATTGATTTTTGCAGATTTCTTTTCTCTTGATTAAAAATTATTTTTAATACCCAAAAAAAAAATTACAATAAAGTTGATGAACTCAGGGGAAGAAAAAGAATAATATAAAGTAATTGAAGATGTCAATGTCAGGAATTTGGACAAAAATCACAAAATTGAGTAATTAATGGTTAAGAAAATAAGAGGAAGGATTGACTAGTTTATACATCGACATGGCTAAACCTTTCATTAAAAAAAGGGAAAAGTGCATTTTTCGTCCCTAAGTTATAGGGTAATTGTAGGATTCGTCCCTAAGTGTTGTAAATACTCACTTTTCATCCCTAAGTTATAAGCTATGATGCAATTTTCGTCCTTTTTCTAACAGAGGTGTTAAGTGACTGTTTAATGTAAGGGTAATTCTGTCCAAACACATTTAGGCTCATTATTAATTTAATATTTCTCTAATTATACTCTTTCCCTAATTATACTCCTGTACTCTTGCGTAGACTGGGTCATTTCTTTTATCATTTTTTCATATTTTAAACATGCAAAATTTATGATGTTAAAAATTGTTTTTGAGATGCTCCGGCTTGTAAGTACACAAAAATTTTAAAACAACACTCAAGACTTTCAATAAATATAATATTGATTTCTTTCAATATATTGAAATGTTGGTAGTTTTCAACACAAAAGACTTTCAAAATTAAAGTGATTCACAAAAATCATTCCAGAACTTACCTATTAACTACTTAGCTTGTATTAAATATTGGTTGCATTACAAAAAATAAAAATAAAAAATTCAAGATCTAAGCAGCATTCAAAAAGCCTTCTAAACCTACATACTAATTGATGCTATAAAGCATCATCTTCATTTATGTTGTTTGGTCTTTCTTGGTGCACAACCTTGACTCAATTTTCTTTTTCTTGGTGACTTTCCAACTGTCTGTGATGGAGTTGTTTCTCTATGTATCTGTGTGCATTGGGGACCAAGGAGTTATGTTCTGCAAACAAGGAATTAGATAATTGTAGTGCATTGAAAATCAAAGTTTTTTGCAAATTTACATATTATCTTTAAAGAAAAAGAAAAATTTAAGAGTATTGACCAACCAATTCATCATGCAAAGCATTAGAGATTATCATTTCAATGATATTATCATTTGGAACAAACCATGCAACAGCACCAGGGGGCTGGACTTAAACATTAGCAACTTCAACAGCAAGTGGTTCAACTTCAGCAGCTATATTAGCCACAAGGTGTTCAACTTCAACTTCAGTAGCAACAGGGTGTTCAACTTCAACTTCGGCAGGGGGTTCAACATCATTTTGCCTCTATTGAGAAAGTGTAATAAATGATAATGAAATTGTCGATATAGAAAACATAATGTAAAGACAAATACAAGTGTAATTACCTGGTTTTTGCAGCTACGCTTGTTATGGCCATATTGTCCACAAATTGAACACTTCTTTTTCTCACCCTTTCTTGATAACTTGCTAATTAGCTTATCACCCACAACAGATTCATTCTCAATAGGATCTCTCTTCCTTAGTTTTTTTGGTCTGCCTGGTTGCACTTTATACTTGGGTGGTAGTGGTGGTTTTTGGCCAGTTTTTGTCCATAAATCTGAGGGATGAATTGGCATTATTGCTGGTTTATAACTCCTCATATATGCTTCCACAGTATAGCAATGATGGACATAATCTTCAGGTACTTCCCCTTTTGTTCTAATTGCTGCAATGGCATGACTACAAGGGATTCCATTAAGATCCCACCTCCTACAACTGCAACATCTTTGATTCAAATTTACCTTGTAAGTCTTAAAAAAGCCAGAAATGTCTTCAACTTGGTAGTTGTCATCATTTGCTTTGTATGCTATCAAATCACCAGTGTGTGCCTTGTTTTGTTCAAGAATTTTTATGATTTTAGGGCATATTTTCATTACACTTCCCTTCATTTTGTCTCTGTTCTTCTGCATCCTAGACATTAGGTAAATTCTCAAGCTCTCACACATTGTTAGTATGTACTTATCCCTTGCATGACGAATGGAGCTGTTAAATGACTCACACAAATTATTCAGCAGCATGTCAGACTTTAGATAATCAGAAAAATATGCCCTGCAAAAGTGTCTTGGTTCCCTATCTAATATCCATTGGGCAGCTTTTGGATTTAATAATCTCAAACCTTCCAAGTGCTTTTGAAATTCACTTTCTGTAGTTGATCTACAAGCAGCCCAAAAATTCTGCTTCATGACTTGACCACCATATCCATCCTTGCTGAAATTAGCATGGAGATGCCTCACACAATGCCTATGTTCTATATATGGAAATAACTCTTCAAAAGCAGGTACTAATCCCTTTTGTTTATCAGAAATAAAGGTCCATCCAATGGGGTTTTGAGAAATATGAAGATCACCATCTAATAACTCAAGAAACCACTTCCAAGTTTCGTTTAACTCACCTTCAACCACAGCAAATGCAATTGGGTACATGTTGTTATTAGCATCTACTCCAACTGCACTTAATAATTGTCCTCCCTTTTGATTTCCCTTCAAATGGCATCCATCTACACCAATTAAGGGCCTACATCCATTTAAAAACCCTTCTTTACATGCACCATAACATATATACAGCCTCTTGAATCTACTCCTACCCTCCTTTGAATAAGTGTTGTCCAAAATTAACTTCACAGTAGTGCCAGGGTTAGTTTTCTTAAGTTCTTCACAATAATCCGACAACAAATTATACTGATGATTTTGAGAACCAGTTACTAGCAACTTTGCCTTTTGCTTGGCCCTAAATGACTAAAATTTTGAAATATAGCATCTAAACTTTTTCTTCACATGCCTTTGGAATTGAACTCTGCCCCATTCCTCATTTAATTTGAATTCATCCTTATAATATTTGGCAAGAAATCCAGATTTAATCAGTTGATTGTCATGTTGTTCACCACAACTATGATTGAGCCTATATGTTTTAATGGTAAAAGGACAATTTTCATTGCTCCTAGAACCAAATATAACCCAGTCACAATTTACATCCCTACACTTTGCTCTAACTCTCCTAGGCTCATTCTTCACAAAGTAGACATCCTTTTTTCTCAATGCTTCATACCTTTCAACTGCCCACTTAAACTCCTTGTTATCTTTAAAAATCATTCCTTCTTGAAATTGAAAATCCTCCAAGTTGAATTTTGATTCACTAAAAACTAAACTAGAATTACTCCCTTCCTCCACATCAGAATTTGAACTAATACTCCTTAATTCATCTTCAGAATCAACACAATCTACTTCATTTATTTGGGCAATTGAACTACCAAATTCCTCTACAACATTTGTAGCTGCACTATCAGCAACATTACCATGTTCATCTTCACTTGAAAACTGAGAATCATCAAATTCACCATCTAATGATGTTGATTTTTCATTCTCAGAATTACAGTTACCCCCTTCACCACTATGTCCTTCATGTGAATCTAACAAACCAAAAGACTCGGTTAAAAAAAAAAAACAAACAAACAAACCAAAATATATTTTACAATTAAACAAGTACAACACTAATCAACATTAAATAATGAAGACAAACAAAGAATAACAAATATACTATTCTGGTTTTATTCATACGTGGATCCAATATTTTTTTGATTACATAAACTAATTCATAAAAATTTCAAAACCCTAAACATGAAACTATTAAACAAATAACAAGAACTAATATTTTACCCAACAATCAATTAAACAAATACACAAATTTTTCAATTATATAAACTAATTTGTAAAATATTTAGAATCTAAATGCAAAACAATTAAACAAATATGGAGTAACATGAACTAACATTTAACCCAACAAGCAAACAAACAAAAATTAAGCCCTAAACATTAAAACAAAATAACGAAATTAAAGAAAAATATGCCTTGCAAAATTAACGAGAAATTGAATTGCTTAAACCTTCGAAAATTAACAAAGGGGAAGAACTTGCACGGTAGAGTTCCCTTCCAGCCAAGTAATCGCCGATTAATTATCGAGAAATTTTTAGAATGCTTCATCTCTTGACCATCAATTTTGTGTGTTTGAAATATGAAAAAATAGTAGCGTGAACTGTGAAGTGGAAGAGTCAGTGTTGAAAACCTACGCAAGAGTATAATTAGGGAAATATTAAATTAATAATGAGCCTAAATGTGTTTGGACAGAATTACCCTTACATTAAACAGTCACTTAACACCTCTGTTAGAAAAAGGACGAAAATTGCATCATAGCTTATAACTTAGGGATGAAAAGTGGGTATTTACAACACTTAGGGACGAATCCTACAATTACCCTATAACTTAGGGACGAAAAATGCACTTTTCCCTTAAAAAAATTATACTTTATTTAATGTTAATTGATTTAGAGTATTATTTTTAAAAAATATCAAATTAATTTGTATTTTAATATTATTTTTGTCCATTTGATAAGTGAAAATTCTTACTACTTTATGTGTATATTTGGCATCAAACACATGATTCTGTGTTAATTGGAAACAAAGTATGTGCTTATTTGATTCCTTTGTGTCATTAAGGTACGTGATCTGGAGACATTGATGGTAAAATCATGTAAATTGTAGCTAAAGTGAATGCGTTTTAAAGTCATCTTATCTTACCATAAAGGTATGTTTCAAGACTCATGGGAAGTTAAGAAAGTGAAGAAGAGCGAGTAAGAAGTATCATGACATGACCAGGGATCCAAAGGAGCAAGCTAGGGAAATGAAGAAAAATGCAATTTTACAGTGAAGATCAAGACTCATGCTAATGCTCACGATTGTGAATATCTACGTGAGAAACTTTGTTATGTTTTCCTCTTTCATGCGGCATCTCGATATTTTAATCATATCTCAATGTAAAAATGTCTAAATCAAGTGATTCAAGCGGCATTAGAAAGCTAATTGAAAGAGCTACAACTTCTATGTAGAATACAAAGTCCAATTTGAACGTTTACAAGGTGAAAAATTGTGACACCCCGAAATTCAAATTCGATTAAGGGATTAATTAAATAATTAATCCTATTTCAATTTGTAATTTAATTCCTTAAATTCCTGAAAATTCAATAGTCGGGGACTAGTAATTGACTAGTCAACCCCAAAGTCAAAGTTGTACCTTGAGCTTTGTAAGGAGTTCCCTTGTTTCCTTACACCTCTTCATGTTAGTAAGGGTATTCTTGACTTTTCACCTTGTGTTAGTCTTGTCAGCTAACCTAGTAGGAACACCCTCATTTCTCTCCTTACACTTTCCAAAATTCTATAGCTCTACCTTCTCTCTAAAAAGTTAGATAGCTTTTCTTCCAAGCCAAGTTGAAGCTTTGTCAAAACTTCAAGAGTTGTCTCCAAGATTCTACCTTCCATACATTTGGGCATCTAGGAGGGTAAGATCCATGTTCATCTTGTGTTTTTAGTGTTTTCTAAGGTGTCTTTTCTTAAAGATAGAATCTTTTTATCTTTGGTGGGTTCTTGAAGTGGGTTTGGAAGGTGAGCTTTGTTAGGAGCTTGGTGAGGTGTTAAGTGAAGGTTTTTGTCTACAAGAGGTAACCCATGCTCTACAAAATCTATTTTGCTTACCTATATGATGATTTCTAGGATTCTACATGTGTTTTGCTATGAAATGTGAGTGTTTATGCATTGTCTTGTGAAAATGCATATCTAGAGCTTGTGTTTAGGGTTCATGTATGTCATTGCTTGGCTATTTCTTTGATTCAAGTCATTTTGTTGGATTTGGTGAGATTTGACATGTTTTGGACTTGAATTTGAGCTTGATGATGAAAATCCCCGAAGGGATTATTTTGGTACAGGTGTGTACCCGCGGGCGGAACGGCGGGTAGGAGTTCCACCCGTCGCCCAACCGCGGGGTACATGATGCTTGTGGGTTATGTACCCGCGGGCGGAACCGCGGGTAGGGGCCTACCCGTGGATCCACGGGTACACAGTGGTGTATGGTGGGGATTTGTTCCCCGTGATCCTTTTGACTCGGTATTTGGTCTTTTGACTTCCCGATGTTCTTTTGTGGAACTATTTGAGTGTCTTCTTGATGTTTCGTATGTCTAGAACTATATGGTAGGAATCCATGTAGGTTTTGGTGTCGTGAATCGTGCTAAGTGTTCAACATTGTGTTTCGTTGAACCGTGATGAGTCTTGTGTATTCTTCGGAACTACGTTTGGTTTACCGTTTGATAAGCATGCTAGTTCGGTGTTTAAATGCTAGCGTGTGTGTTGTTTGTACCTTCCTATTGTTGATGATAACTTGTGTTATTCATCGTTGTTGTTGTTGGACTGTGATCCATTCCTTGATTGAGTATGGTTTCATATCTTCGTTGTGATCCGTTGATTGATTCCTGTTGAGGTGTGATGTGTGTGTGACTTTACCTGGATTGCACGATTAGTGGTATGGGACACTAGTCACCAATGTATTGAAGTGGTCCTCGTGGTGGCCATGACGTGATTATGGAGTTGTGACCTTTGTGTAAGGTTCACGTGTTTTTGGGAGAGGCATGTGTTGCCGAGGCATGTGTTGCCGTGTGTGTGATCGGTACCCTCGTGTACTATGAAATCGGTGGTTCTGTTGGAGGGACTGTTGGAGGGGGAACGACGGTTCCCGGATGAATAAGGTTGGACTTGGTGTACAGGGGTCCTGGAGGTAAAGGTTGGAACTAGATATAAGGTTGGGGGTAGCCATAAGGTTGGAACCGGGCATAAGGAAGGCATATCAACTCGTGATGGGTGATGTCACGAGAGCTTGTGTAGCCGTTGTTGTGAGTTCTCTTCTTGTGACGTGTGTAGTCACAAAGGCATGTGTTTCCTTGGCATGTGTTGTCGTGTGTTGTGTCTTTATTCCTTTGAGTTATGCATGTCGGGTATCAATCTATTGTGTGATGATAGATTATACATTGAGACTTCTTGTGAGTCGTTGTTGTTCTTTGTAGACGTTAGAGCTATCAAAACGGTCCCAACCCGTCGGGTTGAGCCCGTTTAACCCGTATTTTACATGGGCTGGGTTGGAGGATTTCCAGCCTGTCCCGTTTCCAACCCGGCCCGTGTAACCCGTGGAGGATACGGGTTATACGAACCCACGGGCCGGCCCGTATAACCCGTATCCCCACCCACCCCACTTCCAAATGTGTTGTATAATTGGGTATTTTATTAATATTTAAAAACATTGTTGCTAACAAGACTTGAACCATTGACCTTTTAGTTAAGTTATCAAATCAAATTATTACTATTAAAATCAATTACGCTAAGAACACATGTTAAACATTTTAATATAATTATATATCTATTTATATCGTAAATATATATCTATATTAATTAATACAATTAATTGTATCATTATATAAATATTAATTTAAAGTTTATTTATTATATAAACTACATAAAGTAATAAATTATATATTTTATAAACTTTATAACTTAATAGTATATATTATAATTACAAATAAAAAATATTACATGTAAAATATATTAGTATTAAATATAAATTAAATAAATTATAATTACATATTAAAAACTAAAATCTAATTTTATATGTGTATAAGTTATATGTGTATATACATATTTCTATATATATAAATATACATATTTGTTAATCGTGATTAATGTGGTTGATTGGAAATACTTTTGGTTACTAACTTAGAGGTCATGGGTTCAATTCTTAAGCAATACGGCAATAAATATTTTAATTACCTAAATTTAAAAAAAAAAAAGAATAATAAACGGGCTGACGGGCCGGCCCGTTTAGCCCGTCAGCCCGTCCTACACGGGTTGGGTTGGGAAAATCCCAACCCGTGGGAAAACGGGTCGGCCCGTCCCGTCCCGTTTCCAGTTGAACCCAAGACGGGCCAGCCCATATGGGCCGGGCTGGCCCGTTTTGACTGCTCTATTTGTAGTCTTGGGATGTGTTCCCGTGTTCTTGTTGAGAGTGTTGAGTCTTGTGTTGGCTATTACTCTTGGATTTGGACTTATATATATGTATTCCATTTCGAAAATGGCTTTACAAACTTATATCTTATCTATGTATGATATTTCACATGTATTGGTGGGTTACCAGCATTATTCGCTGACCGGGCGTCGTCCCATGTTTTATATGCTTCTTTCAGGTGATGCTTAGACGAGTGCGCGGTTTAGTGCCAGCTAGAGTAGCTCCTCCCTTATGTTTTGTGGCCTGTGAGCCAATTTAGACTTAGTACTCTGTTATGTTGGTTTTAGATGTTGAACAATGCAGATGTAGCCTGTGCGTTCACCTCTGGGTGAGCGTGGCATAGCACCCCGTTTCTTCTATTTTGTATATTTCCTCTTTCAGTCTTCGGCTGTGTTTGATGTTTTGGTTTAGATATATGCATGTTTTAAGGCTTTAAATAGCATGGTTTTAGGGGGTGTTACAAAAATAGTTAGAAACCAAAACTTTTGTGCAGAGTCCAACAGTCACGACTGGACTCACAACTGTGAGGCCAATCGTGTTTAATAAAATGCTCACCCAAAATGAGAAGAATTACAAACCAAACACTACAACAATCACACAACCATGGCATGAAAATGAAGACAGCAAAAACTGTAAAAACAGACAAAGAAAACCACAATGTACCACACACTAAGACTGCTGCATTGCTTCAATTCATCTCACCATCCTCTTGACTGTTGCACTCACACTATCAATTCCCAAGTATTAACCTTATAAGCCACTGTGGTTTTCGATACTTGAATATGAGATATCCTATGAAGATACCAAATGGCATGCCACAACTATATCCAATAACAACACTTCTCCAACCAAATCCACTCCAAAAAAATTGTGAATCCTCCACAGCTGGTGCTTTCCCTTCACCTCTGTACTGGCATTTCAAAGTTAGTGGAAATCCACACAGAGCCGGGTTTCCTAAATAGGAATTGTTGCCAAAGGTGTCAAACTGTAGGCCATGAGGTATAGGACCAGAAAGATTATTATAAGAAAGATTCAGTACAGCAAGAAATTTCAAAGATCTTGAAAGCAAATCTGGAATCTCGCCCACTAGTTTGTTTGATGATAGATCTAGTGCCTCAAGAATTTTCAGATTTCCCAACGATGGTGGAATGGAACCAGTGAGATGGTTGCGTGAGAGATTGAGAAACCGAATGAAACTTAACTTGCCTAAAGATTTTGGAATCTCACCGTGGAAGTAGTTATTGGATAAATCAAGGGATGTGCAAATATTATAATGCACCACTTGAAGCTCTACTCCTTTCCACACTAGGCTTATTGAAGATTCATAAGATGATAACCTTTCATCATCATTTGCACTCTGCATAGCTTCAAAGTTTTCCATATAATACCTTGGCAAAGGACCATTAAACTCATTGTGTGAGATATCAAATATATGCAGCTTTGGGAATGGAAATGTAGTGTTAGAAGTGCTTATTTCACCATAAAAATGATTAGATCTCAACACAAAAACACGCAAATCAAGAAGAGTATCTAACCAATGAGGGAATGAATCATGAAACCTATTGTTTCCAAGATCTAGAAATTTAAGCTTGTTGCAATTTCTCAAACCTCGAGGCAATGGGCCTCCCAATTGATTGTCATTCAAATTGAAATACTCCAAGATGTTTCTGGTCCTGCAAACTCCTTGAATAAACCCCTGAAAATGATTTCTTGCTAAATTAATAACAGTAAGTTCTTCGCTAAAGTTCACTAAACACTGAGGTAATGGACCATGTAAATTGTTGTCTGATAGATCAAGATATTTCAAGGAACTCAAACTGCACAACCATGTCTCAATTCCATAAATCAAACTTGTATTTGTTGTTTGATCTGTGCCATTACTAATTGCAGGAACTAGAGTTGGAGCTAACATGCCTCCAAGCTTGTTTTTAAAAACAATTAAAGTTGTCAAAAATTTCAACTTTCCCAGGCATTGAGGAATTGAGTCATCCAAATGGTTGTTGGATAAAATAAGCACTTCAAGAGATGGTTGAAGATTGCATAGTGATCTTGGAATACTTCCTTTCAGGTTGTTGGAGTTAAGATCAATATATCTTAGTGAGGATATATTTCCAAGGCACCATGGGATCAAACCTTCCAAACTATTGTCTGATAAACCCATATTCTCAAGGAAAAGAAGATTGCACAGTGATCTTGGAATACTTCCTTTCAACATGTTGGAGTATATATAAAGATTTCCTAGTGAGGATATATTTCCAAAGCACCATGGGATCAAATCTTCCAAACTATTGTCGGATAAATTTATAAACTCAAGGGAACCAAGATTGCACAATGACCTTGGAATACTTCCATTCAACATGTTGGAGTAGAGATCAAGATAACTCAGTGAGGTTATATTTCCAAAGCACCATGGGATTGAACCTTCCAACCAATTGTTTGATAAAGCTATAAACTCAAGGGAACCAAGATTACACAGTGATCTTGGAATACTTCCTTTCAACATGTTGGAGTAGAGATTAAGAGATCTCAGTGAGGTTATATTTCCAAAGCATTGTGGGATCAAACCTTCCAACCTATTGTTTGATAAAACCATAGACTCAAGAGAACCAAGATTGCACAGTGATCTTGGAATACTTCCTTTCAACATGTTGGAGTAGAGATTAAGAGATCTCAGTGAGGTTATATTTCCAAAGCACTGTGGGATCAAACCTTCCAACCTATTGTTTGATAAAACCATAGACTCAAGAGAACCAAGATTGCACAGTGATCTTGGAATACTTCCTTTCAACATGTTGGAATAGAGATTAAGATATCTCAGTGAGGATATATTTCCAAAGCACCATGGAATTGAACCTTCCAACCTATTGTTTGAAAAAGACATAAACTCAAGGGAACCAAGATTACACAGTGATCTTGGAATACTTCCTTTCAACATGTTGGAGTAGAGATTAAGATATCTCAGTGAGGTTATATTTCCAAAGCACCGTGGGATCAAACCTTCCAACCTATTGCTTGAGAAAACCATAGACTCAAGGGAACCAAGATTGCACAGTGATCTTGGAATACTTCCTTTCAACATGTTGGAGTAGAGATCAAGAGATCTCAGTGAGGTTATATTTCCAAAACATTGTGGAATCAGGCCTCCCAAACTATTAATGGACAAATATAGATGCCCAAGGGAGGGAAGATTGCAAAGTGCTTCTGGAATATGTCCTTGCCCAGTGTTAGAATGGAGTAAAAGAACTCTTAGTGAAGTTATATTTCCTAGACATTGTGGAACCAGACCTCCCAAAATATCAAAAGACAAAGATAGTTCCTCAAGTGAATGAAGGTTGCAAAGCGTTCCTGGAATCATTCCTTGCATCGTGTTGGAATGGAGAAAAAGATATGTTAATGATGTTATATTACCCAAGCATTGTGGAATTACATCTCTAAAATAATTGTAATAATTTAAATCGTGGCCTTCAAGGGAGTGAAGATTGCATAGTATTCTAGAAATATTCTGATGCAGCACCTTGGAATCTAGAGAAAGATGTCTTAATGAGGCAATATTTCCAAGGCATTGAGGATTCAGACAACTAAACTTATTGTAAGATAAATAAAGATTGTTAAGGGAGTGACGATTGCATAGTGTTTGTGGAATATTTCCTTGCAACATGTTGAACCATAGATCAAGATTGGCTACTGAACTTAGATTTCCAATTGTGGGAGGTATTGACCCATAGAAAGTGTTGCCACTTAGGATAAGGCTTTTAAGTTTGGATAGCTTGAGTAAACTTGTTGGAAATTAAATGGGCCATGGAACAAATTCAACTCACAATCAAAATTTTGAAGGTTGCTCAAATTGGAGAATATTGCTTCTCGAATTTGGCCCGTCAAAGAATTGAAATATAAGGAGAGAGAAGTAAGTTGTTGAAGATGGCTTATTTCGGATGGAATAGTACCACTAAGATGGTTTAGTCCGAGGTTTAAAAACCGGAGATTTGTTAATGTTCCAATCTCTGTTGGTATAAAATTTTAAAAACCATTCCAACTGAGGTCCAAGAAAACTAGTTGGAAGAGGTTAGCAATAGCATACAGAACTGATCCAGTAAAGCTATTATTATGGAGGCTAAAACAGGTGAGATTTGGAAATGAAATGAAATCAAGGCTTTCAAGTGTACCTGAGAAACTGAAATTGTCCAGCTTTATTTTATAAACCGCTCCAGCATTGTTGCAAGTAATACCCGTCCAATTCCAGCAAATGTTGTCAAGATTAGCAATAGACCAAGAATGAAGAACATCAGTATTGAAATCAAGGGTGTTCTTCCATTTGAGAAGGGCTCTTCCCTCAGTTGTTCCAGAAGAATATGAAAAAGGAAAGAGAGAAATAATATATGAGAAGTGGCCATCTATCACTCAATCAGATCACTGTATACGTTGTTTAATAAGTTGTGGGGTGGTGGATTGGAGGTGAATATGTAATGTAGGCTATTTATATAAGTGGCAGTGGGAGTATGCATGTATTAGTAGTCAGAAAATTAACATCCCAAAGTTTTAAAAATTAAAGAAAGAAAACCAATATATTATGAACACTGGAATTTAGAGCTGTTCGCGATCTGCTTAGATGAACGAGTGTAATTGATTCTTAACATTTCTTACTATTGCTTGGTAAATAAATTTAAAATTATCCTATTTTAATAAATAATATCTGAAAGTACCTTACTTTGGGGAAAAGACTTATAATTTGCAAGTCAACAAGGAGGTACAAATTCTACAGGAACAGCTGATTATATGAATTAATTAACTTATAATTACGGCATGAAATCCGTAAGAAACACGTTGTCAAAACTCAAAAACCATTGTCTGTTTTCGCATAAATTGCGGAGGATGAGTGCGTTTAGGGAGCAAGGGAAATGTTACCCGCAAATTATTGTGTGGAGCATAAAAATATATATTTTTAATATATTAAAAATATATTATTTGTATACTTAATATATATTATATAACATAACGTATTTTTTTTAATATAAGATATATTTTTAATATATTAAAAACACATTATTTGTGTAATGAATGTACATTATTTTATAATACATACAAAATAAAGTACTTTTAGTATTCAAATAATATACTTTATGTACACAAAAAATGTACTTTCTATTTATGATTTACACAATTGTATGAACCATGATCTAACCCAATAATGCTCCACGTGAAATTGGTTCTTAGTTTTCTCCTAAAGACTTGTTTTCATATAATCTTATATATATATACACACACACATGTGTGTGTGGGTCTAATATATATATATATATATATATATATATATATATATATATATATATATATATATATATATATATATATATATATATATATATATAATTTTATATTCTGAAATATATATAAAGAGTAAACTTCTCCCTAAACTAAATTTGGGTGTCAAGAAAATCTCTGTTTTCATTCATAATGATATTCCTATTTCTGAGTCTCTCATCACCGTTCGGTACATCAATGATGTCTGGATTTCTGGGTCTTCCATTGTTCCCTTTGATCCTTATGATTGTGTCAGTGCCAGTATTTTTTTTATTTATGTTCAGTACAACGTGGATTTTTTTGGGAGGTTTCTCTAATTAAATTTTTGGTTAAAAATTTATATTTCCTTTGTATTTTATTTTATTACTTTTTCTTATTTATACTAATATGTGAATGGAGTAACACAAAATCTGAAATTGTATTTGTTATTTATTTCTTCTTTTTAAATAATCATTATTTTTGTGTTTTACAAAAATTTAGAAAAAATCAAATATAGCAAGATTTTTAATAGGTTAAACAAACATTCTACTTAAGTTATGATATATATATATATATATATATATATATATATATATATATATATATATATATATATATTAATTATAAAAATGCTGTAAAATGAACTCTGCTTGTTAAAAAAAAAAAAAAAAAAAAAAACATAGAAACTTGAATGACATGTACAAATCTCGAAATCAGCATACTAACTCTAAGTTTCAGAAAATCTTACAAAATTATCAAAATTACCGTCTTTATCATCCTCAATCGCATCTCTACAATCTTCCATAAAAACTAAACCAATAGGGTTCTGTTACAAATGCTCATCCTCCTCAATTTTCTTTTGTTGAAGCAGAGCCTCCTTAAGTATCTTCAAACTCATACCAGATGATATAAACTGCAAAACATATTGAAGTACATGAGAATATAGTTAGAAAAATGTAGAAATTCATACAAAAAGAAAGCAGAGAGATGAGTCTGAGATTCTTTGATTGAAGAAGCCCTTGTATTTATAGGTAGAAAATACTAATTCAAAAAGAAAGTATAATAATTTATTTACTTAAGGGAAAGTATAATAATTTATTTATTTAAGGTAATAACATTATTATTATTATTATTATTATTATTATTATTATTATTATTATTATTATTATTATTATTATTATTATTATTATTATTATTATTATTATTATTATTAGGGAAAATTGCATTTTTCGTCCCTAAGTTATAGGGTAATTGTAGAATTCGTCCCTGAGTGTTGGTCATGCTCAATTTTCGTCCCTAAGTTATCATTGGTGTTGTACTTTTCGTCCCTGAGATATAGAATAATTGTAGAATTTGTCCCCGAGCGTTGTTTATGCTCACTTTGCGTCCCTAAGTTATCATTTGCGTTGCACTTTTCATCCCTGAGTTATACTAAAATTGCAATTTTCGTCC